CATATTTATAAACATTTATCTTCTTGTGTTGGGGGCTTCAGAGCTCGATGCAGTACTCCAGGTGGAGTCTCACAAGAGTAGAGGGGCAGAACCACCTTCCTTGAGCTGCCGGTCACACTTCTTTTGATGCAGCCCAGGATACAGTTGGCTTTCTGGGCTGCCAGCACACATTGCCATCGCATGTTGAGCATTTCAGCAGCAGCACCCATAAGTCCTTCACTGCAGGGCTGCTCTCAGTCCATCTGTCACCCACCTATCCCTGCTTGGGATTGCCCTAACCCAGGTGCAGGACCACACACTCGGCCTTGCTGAACTTGATGAAGTTGGCATGGGCCCACCTCTCAAGCCTGTCCAGGTCCCTCCAGAATGTCAGTCGCACCACACAGCTTGGTGCCATCAGAAAACTTGCTGAGGGCGCACTCGATCCACTGTCCATGTCATCAACAAAGATGTTAAACAGCACTAGTCCCAGTACCAATGCCCAAGAGACTCCACTCGTCACAGGTCTCCATTTGGACACTGAGCCATTGATCATCCAGCCAATTCCTCATCCACCGAGTGATTCATCCATCAAATCTGTGCCCTTCCATTTTAAAGACCAGGATGCTGTGCAGAACAGTGTCAAACGCTTTGCATAAATCCAGGAAGATGACGACAGTTGCTCTTCCCTCATCTACCCATGTTGTAACCCCAAGATAAAAAGCCACCAAATTTCACAACACTGCAGACTGTAACCAGAGGGTTATTTTACAAGGAATATGTCTGTCATCCATCATGCACATGGTGTCATTCTACTGATCTACTCCCTGGAGAAAAAACAAAGCACCTGGATTTTCAATGATCACTACAGCAACTTAATGAGTGGCCAGTAATGTAGACTGTTTCCTGCTACTCATAAAACTCCAACTTAAGAGACCCTGAACTTTCATCTTTCTGTATATTCTAATTGTATTAGAAATGTAGTTGCAAATATTGCTACTGCTCTAACTAGAGAATAGAGTACTAGAAGTTAAGTGCATTACCTCATGTCAACACAGTTTGGGTCTTGATAAGGGTGAATGCAGAGCTCAGTAGATAATTCATTCTCACAGGCTCTTAATTCTTTGTCACAACTCCTTTCATGTTGTTCTTCACAGCTGTAGCCTTCTGCCCACTCCCACTAGATCTAGTTAAGATCAAAGCTGATTCAGCTGTGAGGTTGCTCAGGCGGTTGTGGATTTTTTTCAAAGAAAATTACATTCTACATGCACTTCATTCACACAAAATCATTTACTCAACGAATTGTGGCAAGAGAAATGGACAGAAATGTGAATCAGTGATTAACATTAATTTCTTTAAGCAGGTCAAAGGAAATCATCCTTGCTGCACATCCATCTATTCCAGGAATTTTTAGCCTGTTTTAATTAATAAAAATGGCAACATATCCATTGTTGTTTTTTTCTTTTTTTTTAAAAAAAAAAACAAACCCAACATTAATCTATTAACTTTATGCCTGTGTTGCCCTTTGCACATGATATTGGAGAGACCACAATAAGAACATGGAGTTGCTTTCGACTACAATGCCTTTCCAAGAGGCATCAACACATACAGCCTCAGTTTCTTAATCAATAAGAAAAAAAAAAAGTTTTCCCACAGAGATTTTTAACCTGATGGATCCAGCCATTTTTCTAAAGATGGCTTCTTGTTTCAAGCACAAAATCAAAATTGTTCTTGTTCTTAAACAGCTGCTTTTGAGTTTTTAAGTCAAAATATTGTTCTTCTTAAAGGACAATAATAGCCTTTAATTATGCCCTACTACTTCTCCTTTAACTCATCCTCTCTCCAAAACAGCTCAAGAAGTTTCTGGTTCTTCTCAAGGAAATTCCTGTATGCACTAAATTCATGCATTCTAACTTAAAAAAACCCAAACCTAAAACACAAAAAACCCACAACAAACCCAACAAAAAAAACCTCCTCACATTAACTAATCAACATATTAGGAATGAGAAAATAGTGAATCCAAACAACATAAATGATGAATTATTAATCCTCAGCTGAAGAACTTCTGGGCCAAGACTCATGACTCATTTTTTTCAGTAAAACAGAGTGTGAAGTAGAAATGCTATTTGACTAGTTTTCATGATATACTACATTGTATTCCAGCATTATTTCTTACATTCATTTCAATCATTTTAGGTTTTTGCTTTCAGGAAGTAGATGGAGGAACCTTCAGATTGAAAGGACATAAGGTTTAGAACAAAAAAATAAATGGCAACCAATTGTCAGGACTGAATGTCACTCCCCAGAGTAAAAAGGAATTAAAAAGTGAATTGTCAAGTTGTCAACTGTGACATGCAGAATGCCATTTAAATCAACTACAGGATCAACAGTGTGGAAAGCAGTAACAATAGCACGAGTTTAAAAAAACAAACAAACAAGTATACGCGATGAATGCAGGAAATTAAAGTACAGAAAACTGATCTCTGTACACATAAGTTTTAAGATTATAGTAAAGCACAGAATCACTAGACACAGATATGATAAAAAAAAAAAGGACAGAACCTATAAGACTATCAGACAAGTAATGCTCAACATGTCCCCTCTTTAAGTATACTTTTAAAGATAAAAATCCACCTGGCAATGAGGTGAATAAAGGAAATACTGTTGACAATGCATTTTAATTTCCACAAACCTTTCAACAATGTTTATCATCTAAGCTACGTTGGGATACAAGAGAAGGTTATCTGATGTAGTCTGAAGGGCAGAATAAAGACTGCTTTCACAATACTCATAATTATTAGAGGTTGCCTTTGCCGCAACCTGTGTCATTCAATACATTCACAAACAATCTGGAAACAGCAGAACAATATAATGTTTTTGGATTATTCATAGTACTCAAAATTAAAGCTAACTGTAGAGAGTTACAGAAAAACCTTATCATCCTGTTCAACTTGGGATAGCGAGGCACATCAAGTTCAGTGTCCATAAATGCAGAACAACATTCATGGGAAAAAGATGGCCTAATAATAGCATAATAGCAGGTTCTAAATTAACTTCCTCTACCCAGAAAAGATCAAGTAACTTTGAATAGCTACACAAAACACATTCTCAAACATAAAAATGATTAAAAGAGTAGGAAACAAAACATTACAATCTCTGTCTTAACCCTAGTACACCTGTATCTTGAAAATACTTTCAAATTCTAGCTCTTTGTCTGGAAAAAAAAAAAAAAGTGAACTGGAAAAATATTCAGGCAAGTTATCAAAGCTTCTGTAGAGGAAATATTAAATGAACTGTCAGAAGAATTACAAAAGAGGGATATAATAAAAATCTATCTAATCATGACAAGGGCAAATAGTAAAGGATCATTGCTTTCTCTTGTTACAGAAACTCAAAGGCGATTAGCTTTGAGCTTTCTGGTAGTTATGTTTTAACAGAAGGGAAGCATCTTTCTCTCACAAGAGTGAAACTATGGCACTTAGTGTCACAGTACCCTGTGGAGATAAAAAGTGTAAGTTATCTTAAATAGAAATTAAACAAAATTATGGAATAGAAGTCCATCAAGATGTATTAAACACACTGATGTAAATACTAGGTATATTTCCAAAGGCCAAGATTGACAGAAACTAAGGGAGAAGTACCTTACTGTATATGTTTAATTCTTGTCCTCTTTCAGTGCCTGCGACTGGCCTCTATCCAAGCAGATATACAGGTAGCTGAATTACAAGTACTATCTCTACTAGAAAGAGGTATTTAGAAATTACAGGCTTGATCTGAGTTATCTAATTGTTCCTCTCTCCTCCTCACCTCAAACTCTGGCAGGTATTCTATGTTGATTATTTTCCAGAGAGAATTTAGCACTGCACATTTATGCACGAGAGCTCTGTGTGCTGTCTGAGAAGTAGACCAAGCCTTTGCCCTCAAACTTTTGAATTAAACGAGTTATTTAATGAGCATACTTAGATCTGGAGCCTTCAGGAGATGATCTTATGATCAGCCATTACCAGTAAAATGAAATACCAGAAAGAATTTGGTAACCACAGTTTTCTATCCCATTCTGTTTAGAAACCCTGAGCCAGCACCTGGAGTTTCTCAGGCTCTATGGAGATGACACAGAAGCTGAAGATCAGATCCTTGAAAGTCTGAATGGGATTCTCCTGGCTCTTACTGAAGATAGCTAAGTACCACTCCAGATGAATATCTAACCATTTGCACAATCTGAAAGCATTCACTGGATGTTTTCATCTATTGTGATAAGTGATTGCTGCTAGAACCACAGCAGTCCTCAGCCCGTTTTGTTTTTTTCTCTTCTCTTTATATGTTCACAAATCTACCTTCGACCAGATAAAGCTACTGGTCACCTAAACACCTGAAGTTTCAAAAAAAAAAATCCAAATTTAAATACTCCATTTATTACTAACCCTATGATTAAATTGGGGTGATCCTATCATGTCAAGAATTTAAAAAGTACTGCATAATCTTGCAAGAAAGTCTTTAAGGTCTTTGCACATTCCCCAGAATTACATAAATCTGCATTTATTTGTATCTCTTAACAGATGGTGATTTACTACCTTAAGGACAATTAGCCATATTTTTGATGAAAAAAACCAGGCTAAGGAAATTGACTCTTCTAATTGCTAGTCTAATAAAAGAGGTTGTGCCTACCTACAAAATTAATTGCTAGGCTGTACCTCAGGAATAGAATCTTAATCCCTGACTTCCCATGCCTTATGCAAGCATCCTTTTATAGTCAGAGAAGATGAAACTGCTTTCCTCTTTGCTTTGCCACCCGTGCTTCAGTTCAGCATGAAGCAGAATAATCAGCTCTAACTACACTTGCTGCAATTCAAGCAGATGACTGTTCTCATATATTTACACTTAGACAGCCTTTAAGTACCTTGTTAAATCAGAACCTTGGATCCCACAGACACCCACTCAGAACTCCAGCAAACAAAGCGACATGTTAGCGAAGCAGTTGAAAACCTACTGCAGGTATTGTTAACACTCTTATCATTACAGAGCAGAGATCCTTCGGTCTACTCAGAGAAAGTGGGATCTTCCTAACTTTGGCAAAAATCCTCAAGGGCAATCCACAATGTGCAGTGAAAGCAGCCCAGGTGCTCTCAGAGATAGCCAAGAACGGTATGTTGTACTCAAGTGTTGCTACAAGGTGTATTACAGCACATTAAGAATTTCTTTACTGAAAGGGTTGTCAGGCATTGGAACAGCCTGCTCAGGGAGGTAGTTGAGTCACCATTCCTAGAGGTGTTTAAGAGCCGGGTAGATGTTGTGCTGAGGGACATGGTTTAGTGGTGTCGATAGGGCTAGGACAAAGGTGGGACTCAACGATCTTGAAGGTCTCTTCCAACCAAAATTGTTCTATGATTCCATGATCAGCCGTATGGTTCCAGTCTTGAGTTCTGTTTTAAGGCTGCCAGCCATTGGTCTTGCAATTGCTAGCCCAAAAAGCAATTTTGAAGTTGTTTTATTTCAACACAGGAAAAAAAAACAACAAAAAAAACTCCCCACATGTCCCTCTCCTTTACCTTCACAGATGAAATGAAGAAACCATGTATTGAAGCAGATTTGGTTTTAACTTTGATACCTTTGCTGGAGAGCACAGACCAAGAAATGTTGCTTTATGCTGGGCGGGCTATTGGCCGTATCTGTTATGATAATCGTAAGTAATGATTTGAGAGAATCTTATTTGCCCTAGCTGTAAGGCATTATTTTGTAAGGCACTGTAACCTGCAACTCAATTTTCTGAGACCTGAGCACACAATTCACACAGCTTAGAGACATCAGGCTGAATGCATCCCAAATACCTCCTAAACTCTGGGTTTGTATTTTGTAGTTCCTGGAATTCTCACAATAGTTCTAGGTACTAAGCTTTCACTCAGCACAAGACAAACTACAAAAGGAAAGAGAACGTGTACCAGTGTTCTCCCAACAATTCTGCATGTGGATGGATACAAATATACTAGAACCAGGACCAAGTACTTACTGTACTTTGACTTGCCATAAGTCACACAAATTTACACCTGCTTGAAAACCTTATTCAGCCTATAAAAATTCCAAAGAGATCTTGAATTTTAGCACTCCAAGACTCCCTCTATGCTAAGCAATTAACATTCAAAAGACCGGAGGAGGCTGATTCCTCCAGACGAACTTTAAATCAGCCTGTCTCTCAGTGATAAATTATAATAGCCCAGGTACTGGTGAAATGTCTTGTTTTACAAAAGTGAGTTTTTTTAAAAAGAGTAATTATTCTAAAATGCATAAAGCAGGTATTTAGATATTTACTATATGAGTCAGATCCCGGAAAGCAGCTGTCACTTGACTATACTTTATCTTGGGTTTCTAGTCCCTTCCATTTCCCTGCCCTTCAGAACCAAAGACAGCATAGGATAAGGTTGAGATTCACATTCCCTGAAAGAAACAAGCCAACTGTCCATTCCTCACTCAATCTTCAGGTATATCCCACGAAATACTGTCCACCAGAATTCACTTTAGAAGTGGAGACCCTTGTGTAATTGCCCTCGTACATCCACTGTAAGTGGCTTAATTCCTTGAATCAAAGCAGAGGCTTAGCAAACCTGTCCTGAATCCACTGCACAAAATCCATACAAATTCTAACAGCGTGAGAAAGAACCAGATGATCCACTTGCAAAGCATCTCAGTCAGACCCCTTCTACTGACTTAGCTGGTCCCTGTCTAACCACCTGTAACTTCTGTGCTCACTCACGCCAGGTGATCTTCAGGAACAGCTGGTGAAGGTCGGAGTAATCGCATCACTAGTCCGAATACTGACTGATTACGCAGAGAGTGAACCGCTTGTCCATGTTGATCTGCTGGCCTTATGCAACCTTGCAGACCTTGGTAAGTAAATGCTTTTGTATCTTTGAGCAAAATATCATCTTCACATTGTTGCTGCCCTTCCATGTACGTGCAGAATGCCCACAGGTTTATGGGTGGTGTTTTGCGGGCAGACATTTCTGTTGGGTAATTTGTGGGCAGGTTTGGTTTTGTTTGCTTTAGGTTTTGTTTTTTTAAACACTACTGATACTAACCAGGGCCTGTCCACAGTTTCCATATTGGAAAAGTAGCTACTCCTTCCCAGAGTACCAGCAATTGCTGATTTAATAGATAGCTTTTGACCCAGAAGATAGTAAGAGCATCATTTCATGCGGCAAACTGACAGTTTCAGCTACTTCAGATACAGTACATTCAATACTCATTTATTAAAAATGCATTTCAAATTAATAAAGTTTATACACCTCAGTGAAACACTTTCCCGTTTCATTTCCAAAACCTTCAAGCCAAAGGCATCTCTCCACTGATTAAAAAATACATGTGCCTTACTTCACACAAGTTTTAAGTAGCAATGGAAGAAAATAATAAAAGAAAAAAGTAGAAAATTACCACACTTTGTGTATGGCCTGACTACAATTTGATCTACTGCTGTCTCCATTTGGGGGAGAGGCAGGGAAGAAGGTATGGTATAATTTTGTCACATTCTCTAACAAGGTGTGTCACTTATAGATATCCTATATTACCTAATATCATATTCCATTCAAATGTGTTCTATGTCAGACAGCAGCAAGGTTTAAAAATATTTGATCTTTGTTAACATGCATCTTGTAGATGTCAAGTAAGCTAGAACCACCTAATCAAGGCAGAAAATATACTACTACAACAAACTGGCATGTGCTGATTTGATATATTAAATAATCATACTATAGATGGATTTATAAGAGTCAGTGGAATTAAGCCAGGATTAATTTGACAGCTATTCTAAGGTCACAGCTACAGGAATTACACAAAAACAGTGTTTAAGAAGAAAATGGGAAGGAGAAGGAATGGAGTACAGTTTTGCCATCTTAATGCTATCCAAAGGGACTAAAGCATCTATAAAACCAGAAAAAAGTATGCAAAAACAAAGTAATGGCTAATCGCTTCAGATTATAGAGAGATAGGCTTTTAACATTTAATCAGATAAAGAAACATTTGAAATCCTGACTTTATAATAAACACAGATACAGCCAAGGAAGCTCTAAGCAAGACAAACATTGCTGAACAGCTGGTGAAACAACTGAGAAGAGCAGAGAACCACGAGAGGTTGGAAATTGTCTTTGAGGTCCTGCAAGCACTTGCAGAAAACGGTAAGGCTCCTTTCAGCTCCAGGGAATAAGGAGAGACAGGGTGCTGGTACTTAGCTTAAGCTCCAGATTCTGAGTTTGCCATGAGATCCTAGCAGTGAAAGCAGCAATCCCTTCAGTGGAAATAAGCCACATGAACATATGAAATCCTGGCCTGAGCAAGACTTTGAAGCTTAATAAGCGAGACAACAAAGAAAGAAGGGAGAGAGTAGCATTCCACTCATATATTCTCCATGGTGTGTAACAGGAAAGCAGACTAGATAGAATTGTTTTTATACAAAAAACAATTACAATCAACTATCATAGTTGATGACTACTCTAAGCATACCAAGCACCAACAATAATCTACTAAAAATAGATACTGGATACAAACTTTAAACAAATGAAGACTCATGACTGGCAATTCAAGAGACATCAAAGATCAATGTAAAAGCTTTGCTCATCCTGCCTTAGTGTCATCGAGTGCCAGAACGTCCGTTACAAATGCAACCTCAACAGTGATCAAGCCTAAAAAAAGACTAGCTGAAGTTCAAGGATTTAGCTTCCTAGTTTGAAATATTTCAGCAAAGACCCAAGAAGCTTTTAGTGTGTTTTTACTGTGATCTCTACAGATGCTCTGAAAGTTCAGTTGGTGGAGGCAGGCGTGCAAGAGGTGCTGTCTGAGATCCTGCTGAGGCTCCAGGGTAGTTCACAAGCTGAAGATACGTGCATTGTGAAGGCCGCATCAGACCTCATCGTCTCTCTGCTTCTCGGAGGTAAAAAAGAGAATGCTGACAGTCCAGATACAGAAAGAAACAACATCAATAATTCTCCTTTGCAGAGGAGTTGCCATCTGCTCTGTTGCTTTCATTTCCTTATCAGGGACACATCTGCAACCTGTTTCATAATCCTTAGGGGAACTCTTCTCAGACACCACACTTTTTCACTTTTTACAGGAGCCTGGTGCTCAAGTAATCACGCTTCCCTTCAAGCAGATACCTCTGTTACCACTGCAACTGCTCCTGCACAGAACAAACATATGCACAAGAGCTTCAGGCCATTGAACCCATACCTGTGGTTGCCAGTTCACGCTCTGCTTCTATAACTTTACTTTTAAAGGCAGCCTAAGAGCCAGTTCTAAATCTAAAGCTAATTGTCAGATTAAGTTCACATGGTACTGAACCACTCATGTTTCCTCATTCACTGTTTCAAATTTATGTACATACTTCAAACATTTGGATTAACAAAGGAAATGTAGGAACTCTCTCAAAATATAAGTTCTGCATCTATCTATTAGGAACAGACTACACACATTGCTGACCTAGATTTTTTGTTAAGTCCTTAAGCTGATTTCAGGAGCAATAGAAAAGGGCTAAAGACCTAACAGCAACTTAGGTTAGGTGGTCCTGCTATGTTGTAGTTTGGGCACTACAGGATAAAGAATAAAATATCAAGAACTGGACACTTACACTGCATCCCGCCACTCCTAATCCCAAAGCAATCAGCAATTTAAAGATCTTAAATTATTAACTATAACAACAATCTTTAAGTCATCATTGAATAATCTCCCCAAAGACAGACAGAACAGTTCACTCTGGGGCTAATTATAAGCAGACATAAGACATTCTATTTATTATCCTGGAGATAAGTACACACAGAAGCTTTTTGCATCATCTTCCAGAAAGCTGGTACTTGTATCACATCCAAACACATGCAGCTATAGAAGCAGATGCAACAGCTATTGCTAATTTTACCAAAAAAACCTGTAGGGCTGGTTGTTCTTTACCCTTCAAAGATTGAAAGCCACTATGAGTGGAGAGAAAAGCAACACAATTACATTGCTCCCTTGCTCTGAAACATTGACATTCTTGCTTTTCCGCAGACTGGAAACTTGCTTGCATACCTTTACGTTACTGACACTAATGATACTGAATTAGCTTGAGGGACGTAATTCTGAAAAATGAGGTGGTCGGGTATGCAAGCTCTCACACTTATTTCTTAAAACACATTATTACAGAGGAGACTGGAAATATTGCACAGTAAATACATTTGTTAGAAATACAAGAAAATAACATACCGTTCTTGATGGTTTAGGTTTAAAGTCACTTTTAGGAAGGGAGGGCTACTCAGACATCCTGGGGGAAAAGTAATCTCAAGATAAGCCATTTTATCTTTCACACTTTTCTATTACAGAAAGCAATGAGCCTTAATACTATGCAGAGAGAAACAGAGAAATCCTTATAGAAAAGCAGGCTATGCTGAATCAGTCAGCAGAAGATATCCCATCATGTCTTCTCTCCTTTCTCACTTAAAGCTACTGTACCAGGTTCAAACTCAATTAACAAAAAGCAGCTTTTATAATATTACTCAACTTCATTAATAAGCACTTAATTATCATAAAAGATTCCCTCACAGCTGTCTGGTGATAATGTAAATCTGGTTTTTGTGGTTTTTTGGGTTTTTTGGTTTTTTGGTTTTTTTTTTAAAAGCAAGCTATCCTACATACATCTCTCTACCACCCCCTCACATCCTTTCCATCCTCTTTTTTTCCCTTGTCTTATATCTTGCTCTGAATCAGCCAATATGCATTATGGTTATACTAAGGCCACAGAAACATCCCCGGTGCCTTTAAGCTGACTATCTTCAATTTATTCAGCTGAATGACTTGCTTTGTCACTCACTTCTCCTTCCATCTACCCCACAACTCCATTAAATGTTTCATGTGGAAAAACTGAATAAACCCTCTCAGGCCCCAGTATGTTCCACTGATGTACGCACAGCCTTTAATCTAAGAGAAAAAAAAAAATCCCATGGAAATTTGATCTTAGCATCAAATGGCTTCTGAGGCAGTGAGAAGATGACAGCTTTTGCAGTTATTGAAGATTCTGCTGCTATCCCAAGCAAAAATCCATAGGAGAGAGAACCAATCTGGAGCTCTGTGACAAATCAAAGGAAGGCAACCACTAATGGGTTCTGCCTGTTCACATTTTACTAAAAGACAAAAAAAAAGCTCTCCCATTCTCTGGTTTGAAAGGTGGGAGGAGAGAAATTAAGTTCAATTAAGCTTAGTCTATATGAAGATGAAAGTATTTTGCCTGCAGAATTTTATCTGACCAAAAGAGATGGTCTATTCCTAGAGAACCTGTTCCTAAAGAGGACTGGACCATTTTCCTCATATACTCTGATCTCCAAAGATTAGGACCAGGCAGGAGAATGTTTGAAGAAGCACAAGCAAAAACAGCAGAAGGCATGCATAAATTGATATCAAAAGTCTTCTGCATGAGTAGAATTTAAACTATTTCACAGACTGACACTTCTCTTATGAAAATACCACTTACATTTTTTACGCATTGGACTTATGTACTAATGCAGGAGAAAAAAAATATCCTACTAACTGAAATGTGAAGAGATTAAAGAATAGTAGGCACTGGTTCTAAAGACAACATGGAGGAGTTTCTACCTCTTTGGAGCGGAAATAGAATTCAAACTAGCAAAGGTATTAAAATTACTAGAGGCATTTAAGTGTCATACATGCTAAAATCAGAAGCGTGTATATCTTACCCATGCATTTAGTACCATGAGAAGCTCCTAAAGCTACTTTGGCCCAAATTCTGTATTTACATGAAGTGTGTATAGTTCCATAGATAATTGTTTACTCTAGGTGAAGATGTCATTTTCCTACATAGCGTTCACACAGTTTTGTCACGTTTTACAAACAGCGTTCACATGATAACAGCACAGCAATGAGGAAACATAGCTCAAGAGAAGCATATTCCTGACACCAGGCAATCCTGAACTGCATCTTCAAAACACTTCCTTCAAGAAGGAAGCAGATCATAATATAGAAGGTTTCCTTTTGCTCTTTAGGAGAGCACAGTCTCATTTCCCATCAAGGTGAGCCATGTAGCTTCTGATGACAAAAGGGCTGTCACCTCTGCAGAACAAGTTCTCAGAGAGAGGAGGAGTCACACAGACACATGCTGACAAAAATATCACAGAGTACTTGGCAAAATGGTGGTTCTTTGGAATGTACAAACCTGCTACGTCACCAGCATTAAACAGCTCAGAACTCTCTAGATCAACTCATTTCCCTAACTTCATAAGAGTGCGACACAATTAAGACTTTTTATTCCAGCAAGTGCTTTTCTCGGCAACACTATTAAGAAAAACTGAGGGCAGATTCTTTCGATGATTAGTTAATGACAAATCATTGTTACAATCAGTAACAACAGTTCAAACTTGGCAATCAGACTCACCATTGCTGGGTAGATCCCTGGTCTCACAACAGGCTCTTAAATGAGCGAAACTGGAATACTAAAGCTATCCTGGGGAAAAATGGAAAATGCCACTAGTACTCTGCCATACATACAGTGGAAAATAAAGCAGTATTGAGGAAGAAATTGACTAGAGAACATAAGGCTTTGAATTTGACAGGGTGTGTCCCTAGAAAGTCCTCTCATGCTGAGCTTTACTGGTGTCTCAGCATCACTTTGCAGGTGGCTGATGCTCGCATTTCTCTAGAGAGCTGAAGGTTGTAAAAAACACTGCAAAAGCTATAGTCTCAATCCTATCAAGACATGAAAACAGTCAAGGCAAAGACTCCCTGGATTCTCAATTTGCATGATTAATTTCTATCATTGTTCTTCTTGCCTCTCTCACCTGCTTGGCTTTGCCTCTTTCTGTAGATGGTAACTGTGGACGAATGGTACAGCTGGGAGTCATACATCAGCTTCTGGACCTTCTGGAGAAACACGTAGAGAGTGAGGACATCTCTGTTCAACACGCTGCACTCAGTGCACTTCGAAACCTAACCATACCAGGTACAGAGTCTGAAGACAACTGACTTACTGTGAGTCTTTGTAAAGAGGGGTTATTTAATGTAGGTCTGTGCAGCTCTGTCCAGCTCACCAATTCCAGTCCCTTGTATGCTGAGGGGCAATTGACCTTTTTTCCCCTGTAGAAACATACCTTTGAGTAACTCATCAGGACTTTACATAAAGGGTCTAAATATAAGAAAGTGTGATCTTATTGCCAGCTACTGAAATAGTTTCATATTAACAGCATACAGGATTTCAAGACAAAAATGCAGAACAAGGTTTATAGCTCATCCCATACTCTGTATTTTAAGCTATCACATCACAGCTGGTTAGGATTTCATAAACCTGTTCCTCTTCTATAAAGTCAGCATTAATCATAAATTTGGCCTTTGTAACACAATTACAATATTTATTAACAGCTACTAGGAAAACCAAAAAATTCTATCTCCATCAAAATCAGGACACAATGCTATTTTCCAAAAATTACTTGAAGTTGTCTACGAACTTTACCATGTGAGCTAGACTGCATGCTTAGTTTAAGCTTTATACATAATCAGTGCCTTGAACAAGTGAAAGCCCTAGAATACACTAGTTGCTATTTTGTCTCCACTACTTCCTTTTAAAGCCTGATGCACCCTCATTTCTTCTTCTAGATAGATTCCTTCAGAACTTCACACTTTTTTCAACTTATTTTTTGTATGCTCTCAAATAATTTATGTGATTTGCCTTAGAGCATTATCACAGTCTCTGGACCATAAGAGCTATTTTAATGAACATTTCATACCATTAGACCCTCACTGCTTCTGTATGTTTTATTTCTCTGTGAAGAGATTTTTCCACCACCATTCACATCAGCAGAAAGGTGTGCAAATAGCTTTTTGGTGCTACTAGAGGATGCAGTATTTCGAATAAGCGTGCCACCTACCTTACATTAGTTAGAACCTAACACAGAGCAATTAGAAAAGAATCATAGAATCATGAAAAGTCACAGAAAGCCATCCAGCTGAAATGAGGAAAGTAATTTAGTAGGTAAAATGTAACTACATTTATCTAGAATGAAAGGTTGTGGGGATTTTTTTTCTATAAGCCTAAAGGTATCCCAAGATCATTTCTCACTGATTGCACTCCTACAACATGTACAGTAGGATTTAATGACTACAAGCAGCAAAGACACAATCGATCTCATCTGAAAGTAATTTTGATGTAGTTTCCTTTGACAAGAAGAGATCATCACTTTCTAACAGAGCCCATTCTTCAATGAATACCAAGGCCCACTTTTTGCAATGCCAAGTCCAGGCATTTCTTGCGAGTTCTTTAAAGCAATGAACACAGCTGGTCTTGCCAAAATTACAGGATCTAAAATTCCAGGAAAAAAAATAAAGCAGTGACAACCTACCACTTCATCTCTATATCACTGCCTGCTACACACAGTATGAGCACATCCTAATGTTCTTTGCAGCTGTACTTTAAAAGGCTTAACTCTGAAATATAAAATAATAGTGTACCAGTAAGGAGTCTATTTTGGCTATCTGTTCTGTTCAAGTCTATTACAAACCATTTTTGATCTTTCCAAATGCATGGGCAATATATAGCACTTAAGAAGTTATCCCTACACTGTACTCTTCCTCATTAATTCATAAAAAAATCAGAATAAGGAAGCTGTAAGATATTTCCTCACAATAATATATCACTTCCAGAAATAAAACTCTATCACTTTCAACATTATAGTCTGTTACCTGGGGAAAAAAGGTCATACTGTGGTGAACGGAGTCAGTCTGTTCCACTGAAAAACAAGGACATTGAAAGCAACTTACTTAACAGGGCCTGTTTCTCAGTTTTCCCAGTAGACAGAAGAAGGGATGGAACAGTTATCTCCCTAATTTCACTCTCCTGTCATTCCCACCACCCCCTAAAGGCAAGATAGGAAGAAAATTACTCTGGAGGAAGCAGCTTTTGGTAGCACAGTTAAGGAGCATTAGGACTTTCTCCAGACATGCTTCCGATTATTACCAGGGATTACTGCACTAACAACTGGAGCAAAGGCACAAGAATCAGGAGAGGAAAGCACAGAAACAGAGGCACGGACAGGGGATCAGTGAACTCAAACACAAAAAGAAAATTATGTCTGAAGAAATATGGCTACAGAAACCACTTGGGCCATTCAGGTTCAGTTAAGATGAGCAAACATAGAAAAAGCTTGCTCATGCAAGTGGATGGATAAACCTATTACAACGAGGAAAATGAAGAGAAACAACAATGCTGTGTTTATGCTTGTATGTACTTCATTCTGTGCAGGGCTGACATGAAAAGTAACCAAAATACCATAAGGCAAATTCCTAGGAAGCTTTTAGATGAAAAGAGAAGCCTTAACAGTCGGGTAGTTCTAACTTTATTTCTGAGTGCTCTAATAAGCTGGATCTTGTGCTAAGCACAAAATGGAGTAAAAATTTCAGAACAGTTATATCATATCTACATCTTCAGATGCTCATGTAGTTACTGAGCTTCACATCAATGTCTTTTTTCCATTTTCTAGTTGTTAACAAGGTTCAAATGCTGGAGGAAGGTGTGGCAGAACGGATCAATGCACTTCTAAGGTCCAAGATGCCTCCTGCGCAGTTTAAACTTCTTGAAACGCTGCGGATGTTAGCAGATGGACAAGGTAGGGAACTGCTAACGTTGACTGACAGGAGCTATACAGCCCCTGCCCCGCCTCCCCACCCGCCGCAAGACAACAGAGGTTCAAGTAGGCTACAGGCTCGGTGTCCTGCTAACCTAATTCCACTCAATCTGGAGAGGTGCCAAGAGACATGATTGCCTGAAGTCACAAGCCTTCCTCACCAACCCTGCCAGCCTTAGAGGCAGATGAGAAACTAAATGAATGGAACAATCTTAATATATCCTTACACCTATCCAGCTTCTTACCAGAGTATAACACAAAAGCGAGTGGTATGGCATTTGGATTTTTTTTTTTTAACAAGTGTTCTAATTCTTTCTATCGCCACAGCAGTTGCTCAACAACATTGATTAGTACAGTACACCTTGATGTGCAGGGATACCAAAAAAAAAATAAATCAAATGTAGAATCAGAAAAAAGTTATTACTGTTTTGTGTGTCCAACAGCTGGTACAGAACAATTACAATCACAAATATTTTCATTATATGGAAGGGGAATACACCTCACTCTCCTGCATTCCACACTGTACTCATTTGCACTGCAGACAACACTTTGATATGGCAGCTACTCACACCCTTTTTCAAATTAATATTCATGATCTAAGCTTTAGATTTAGCATTCGTATTAATTTGCACTGATTCCAGCCCACTAAAAAACTTTCACTTCCCTTTCACCATAGTAAGAAAGAGACATTGCAAGATTACAGAAACTTCACCTCTTCTTCTTCTCAGGCTTTGAAGGTCATTAAGAGGTCACTCTAAAGTTCTATTTGAATTGTGACAGGGGAGACCGTTTTGCTTTTAAAAATGATGTATCACAGTAACACAGATCTAAATTATCAAACATTAAATTATGTGGGGTTTTCTTCTTGGTTCAGGCTTCTGTTTTTCTTTTTTTTAACTCAATACCATTTACGAGCCTAGTATGAAGTCAGAATTTGGCAGAAAACAGTACAATTTCTGTTTCCAAAACAGCACAGAAATCCAAGTGGAGAGTAGAAAAACCAGACGTAGTAGATTAATCAGTGTTTACCCACTCCTGCCTATAAGCTCACAATTCTCCCACCTTTAATTACTTTCTATTCTGTTTACTCATGAGCTAACATTGTCCTTAATTAACTCAGCCTGAAACTCTTATGAATACACATGCTAAGAAGTCCACATCAAATTAATCAATTGCATTACCTAGCATAAATTCATTACTCTGACAAGCACCAGGCATGCTGAGGCCTAAGGACTAAAAGAAGGTTCCTTTCTAACTATAGAAAACATCTTTATTACCCTAAAGACATGTTAACAATAACTTCTGTTTTTTCCACTGTTCTGCTTCAGAGGAGAAGAATGTGTGTGCTTCAACAGCCAAAGGACTTTCAGCGCAGCTCAAAGATCAGTCACACATTTTATTCAAATCTGGCATTTCATAAGTTACACGGTCTTCCTGTTTCTGTTAAAAAAAACTAATTGGGTTTTATCTCGAAGAGCTCTATTGCTGGTAGACATCAGGAAGTTCCTGTCAAACTTTGTCACGATGCCTCTTTTGAACAAATCTTTTAGACTGGTGCCATTCGTCACCCTCTTACCTCTTTCAGCTTTCTGTATTAAGATGGATTACCATGATCTCCTCAGACTACCACGTAACATCCGACCCAGACACAAAAGCCTTTCTGTTACAGGAGGCAATACGCAGGTAGTTGTGCAACAACAAGTAATTTATCTCAAAACAAACATGCTCAACTAGGCTAGAAGCTCCCAGACTCCTTCTGGGATTTTGACCTGTTGATTGTTCCTTAGTGTACTGGTAAAATAAAAATAATAATAATTAAAAAAAGGAAGCACCTGGCCTCCCTCAGCTCCATCCCCAAAACAGAAAGACTAAGTTGACTTCACATTTTCTGTAAAACATCCGAGTAATCACATGGTTTATTGACACTGACCTTCAAGTATACACTTTATTTGACCCCTTCCAGAATATCTCAAAACAAATGTATGACACAGAAATGGATTGGCAAGGAAACAGGAGCAGGGTGATGCCCCTATGAGGCAAACCCATTCCTTCTGTTCCAGATGCTAACATTGGTTCTTCCTCAAGTCTTTGCTTCAGCAAAGCTCCAAGAGACAAGCCTCCTGTATCTTAAATCCATGCAGATTTTGCCACACAAATATAACATTTCGGTCCTCAGCATCTTTATAACTTTATTTTTCCTTTGCTTAGGAAATCACTTTCCACCAGTTAGTCACTTTTGATCCACAGCACTTTAAAGATGCATTATTAAACTCTAATAGGACTCATGTGGAACCACGCATTAGATTGACGCAATATTGAGAGAGCATGAGTAAAGTCCTTTTGATGCTGAACTTCTAAGAGCTTTGGGAGTAGCCTCTCTTAATGGCAACAAGCCTCAAACCACAGGGTATCATTAGAGCTCCACTTCTTAGGAAAAATTATCTAGTGAGGGGTTTTTTTTCCTCCAAATGTCAACCACACAGATTAATACTTCCAGCAACTCTTGAGATAGGGTTCCTTAAACACAGGGGAAGGCAAATTAAAAGGCTCCTCCAAACTCTGAGGGAAGTTTTGATGATGCCCAACACACAGTTCAACAGTCTTGAGACGTGCAATTACAGACAGCCTGCAATCCTGTACTGAAACTCAGCTTCCCACATGCTACCAACAGTAATTATCACCACTACTGAGAGCACTGAAACAGCAAGAACAGGCTCTGAAGAGCTTGTGGTTACTCTGTGCAGTGCTCAAAGAGCAAGTGCAAGAAACCAAATGGGAAAGGGACAGTCCTCAAGATGTTTTCAGTGTATAACAGAGTATTTGCTTTCAAAGATAAGACATTACTCAATTTTAACCCCTGCTTCAGCAGCCTCTTAAAAGTGATATGTCTAGCAAAACAGCACATTTCTTTTACCTCCAAGAGTTGCCTTAACGCAACTGGCAATTCTCAGGTAAACATTTCCAAGATCCCTTAAAAGCCCAGTGCTTTAGTTACAGATCTTAAAGAATACTGAGGCCTATGGTCCTGCTTACTTCTGCATTCACATTTGGCAGGGGGGTTGGAGCTAGATGATCTTTCAGGTCCCTTCCAACTGAAGCCATTCTATGATTTCTGTGACAGATACACAGAGAAGCCTGACTTTGCATGTCTCCTGATGATGCTTTTCTCTTCAGCTGATGCAGCTGAGATCCTGGGCCAAGACCCCACGCTGCTCAACAGACTTGTGCAGTGGTGCAACCCTAACGACCACACCGGTGTTCACGGAGAGGCAAACCGGCTGCTGGCATCGATCCTGCGGCACAACAGATCCCAAGTATGAGAGCATTGAGAGTATGAGAGATGTTTCTACTTTATCCCTCTTGAATACTTTTAAAGCTTGTGGATATAGCTAGGGGTTAAGTGTTAAGCCAGCACATACAGCTTCATTAAAAGCATGAATGTTCACCATAAAAACCGTTCTAGTCTGCCTCAGCACCAGATAAGGGGCAGGCAAGCAGGAAAGCTGTGCTCTGCAAAGCCACAGACACTGCACAGAAGTGAGCAACAGAGTTACTCACCATTACTTGTCAACATTTACCCTGCTCAAAAGTAAGTCACGTAAAGGCTTGGTAAGTAGAGCTTTTCTAGTTCCATAAATGTTAGCTGCAATTTTGAAATTAACATGGCAAAGATAATCCACACAGTCCTCCAGGAGCAACAAAGAGCCCACTTACCCACCTAGTGATGGAGGAATCCAGCGTGATCTGTATCTGTTGGCATGTTAGAACATGCTTCTGTTTCTTGTAAATAATGCTGTTATACACAGGCATCCCAACCATGCTTTACTTTGAGATAGTGGTAAAACAAGTAGATATTAACTGCACAAGCTTCGATAAGGTAAAACTATTCTTTGCTAGTCTGAAGGCTTGAAATGAAAAATTGAATCAAGGTCAAACTATAACTCTTGAAACAAAACTATGCACTTTATCTTACATATGCACATACACAAAATTTTAAGTATTGATAGTCCAAGTAGATAGGCCAGCCCTAAACAGATGTGTATGATCAGTGCGAAAAGCAATGCTATCTCTTCAAGTATCATAAGTTCACATTGCAGCAGACAAATCATTTCCATCTATTCAGAGGCTGAAGAGTGCAATCTCATCTCTCTCCTCATTGGACTTGATTCCTAAGTCAGATTTCCACCTGTGACAATTTACTTTTGCTTTAACAGGAAGTGGTCAAAGCCATCCAGGAGGCACAAGGCGTGAAGCATCTGGTTTCCATGACAACAAGCGAGCACACTGCCATGCAAAATGAGGCTCTGAATGCCTTGGCAATAGCATCTGCCATTGATTTAGGTATTTTTCTCCTAAAAAACATTTATCTGTGTAAGATCCTAAGAGACATTATCATGCTGTTAATTCTACATAATGTGTAAGAAAAAGCACATTTTTTGGTCTAGATTTAGCTCTTCAACATGAAAAAAAAAGAGAGATCAGACATCCAGAAGATCATAAAAGCAACAGGCTTCAGGAACTGCCTGAAGGTTTTTTTGTTTAGGGTAGAGTCAAATGATCAAGTTGTGTGGACAGGGACAAGCTGTTGAATAGCATGATATGACACTAGAAACTTAGGCAAGAAAAAACAGAAAGAAAGTAAAGGTGATTAAGACTAGGTAAAAAGATGAGAAAGTCTAAATGAAGACAAAATTCAGGACAAATTATGGACTTGAGTCGTTAGTGAAGACTATAAACGGAGGAAACAATCCTCAGAAGACAGACATTCAAATACAGGAGAGAATAAAGCACAAGCACAGCCAAAAGGGCCTTGGAGAAGCTACAGATGAAACAAGTGAGAAAACTGTGAAGGTTCTAAATATTCAGAGAGATTGAGAATAATGTCAGATTCTTTGTTTATGACTGATCACATTTGAAAATTAGTCTCAATTAATTACAATTAGGACAGTCACCACAGGAAAGACAGACTGAAAACAAATGGTATAGGAAATTCCAAATTTCAACTTGGACTAACAAGCAAGACGGCAAAGAGCTCGTTTTATGCTTGGTCCCCCGTTAAGGCTCTCAATCTCAACTGGGAAACTGGTGTGAATCAGTATTTCTAGTATTAATCACTGCAAGTTTTCATCTACTGTGAGGTTATTTTGTACACCTGTAGTATAGATCTTCTGTCTCCCAGAATGAGGAGAGTGAAGAAACACTGTACAGAAATTCTCCAGTACAGAAAACAGATGCCCATGTCAGCCCTCGCTAGTCAACATGAAACGAAGCCAGCCAGGAATTTTATTTTTAAAAAGCAAGCATGTTCACTTTCTAGCTCCTTTTCAGCTAAGAGCTCAGGTATTCATTTCCTTATTTTGCAGAAACCCTTGAAGACTCTTTTAAGGAATCACAGCTAGTTCAAAGCTTACATAAACTTCTACAAGATGATAAGACAACTCCTGAGGTGAAATATAATTCAATGGCTCTTTTGTGCAGTCTTCTTAATTCAGGTAACTTTGTTTTAAGATGTCTGCAATGAAAGGATGGATATTTGTGATGAAAACACAAGTGTCTTCTGTTACTGAAATGTGCTGCTTGTGATGTTGCAGGTCAATGAGTGGTAAAGGATATTAAAGAGCTTCATTCTTTATTGACCACCAAAAATCCTAATCAAGTAGCTTCATTGTGAAGAGTTGATTAAATCATCAGTTGAATAAGAAAAAAGAAAGGCTTTGTTCCAGTAAACCAATGGCATAACCAAGTCCTGAAATAGCAAAATTAGAGACTTGGAATAAAGGCCTCTTTGTCCAAGTTCACGATCCACAAATGTCTGTCAGTCCCAGGTCCTGCATGTACCACAGCATTTTTGCATTCCACGAAACAAAGAGTTTGTGCCATCCTCCAGAGGCAGGCATGCATTTGTTCTGCCCATGCTCTAAGCAGAAAGTCAAGATAAAACAGTAACAGTAATTGTAGCAATGCTGCCTTTGATTAGCAACTTTTTGTAAAATATATGAAGGATATTATTTCAGATTCTCTCACTCCATGATTAGGGAAGACTTAAAATGCTTCAAGCAAGATCAGACTCAACCTGGATATGTCAAACTGAAACCAACTGCCTTAAGATCTCAAGCCACTTTACATGGGTTATGTATTAAGATATGAGACACTGAAAATAATTACTGTGCTCAGGCAAGGATCTGCCACAAGGGGAGCTCCCTTCCAAATCTTGGAGCCACTGTATATCAGAGTATATTGCAAAATCTGGTTTGTCTGCTATTTTTTCCCCATAGCTACACAGATATTGGAATAGGGATATGCATTTGCATCTTCCAATGCTACTACAGAGTATTAAACATGACAGACATGATCTATAAGACCTTTTTCCCCTGAGGTGTACATACTTCATAAACACCAGGAGTTAATATTTACTAATATAAAAGCTAACGCAAAGTATACAGGCAAAAAAAAAAATGCTGGAACCTGTCCTACGTTATATTTTCTGAGTGCTTTTCTTCTGTTCAAACAGATCTTACAAGTTAAAACAGGAAAAAAAAAAATCTTAACGTGTTCAATACCTCCAATGGCTGAAAGGGTATCTATTGAGAGAAATTTATTGGCATTAAAGATCTCACTTTAAACAGCAAGTACTCCAAACTTATCTTGCAACAATTGTTGGGAGCCACAATGCCACGGCATGCCACTAAAAACCAGCATTTCATGTCCCATTCAGGTGATCTGAGACAAGAAATAGAAGAGGACAAGATTAAAGAAACCCTCGAAGAACTCTGCAGCCACAGCAATCCAAATGTAGTCAAGGAAGCTGTCACAACACTACAGGTTTTGAGAGGAGAGACACCCCACTAACCTCCCCACAGCAACCCTGTACTGCTGCAATAAAACACCAGCTTCGCCAACCCCATCTTGCATTTGTCATGCTGCTGCATAACCTAGGTACAGCTCCTGCTTTTAAGGCTCTATATAAAAAAAACCCAAAACCAACCCAATTCATTTCCTCATCTCTTTGGCCTACAGATACTTACACCATTGCTGCTTTTCATGGACCTACTAAGGCACACCAGTAGGATTAAGGCCTGTCAAGAAAGTGGTCTTAGGAGTCACCACATGAGAAGCATCAGGCAATTGCGGCCTCTGTAACATGTTTTTAAACGGCTTGGGTTTTGTCAGATGGGGGTATCACTTGCAACTTTGGAAACTTCATTACCAAAAAAAAATCTCAAGATTATATAGCACAACCTGAAGCAACAGGGTTTTATACTAGATAAGAGCTGTAACTTAAACAATGCAAAGTGCTAACTGGCACCAATTTAACCTCCTCACTTTGTGGATCGACCTGTGACTCCATCTGTTAACTAAACACGTTAAAGCCACCGCAAAACTGTACTTTTAAACCAACTCCTCCTTCCATTTCCAATTTTAAAGCTCATCTCTGAGTTTTCACCTGCTAGTTTCATAAACTATATTCCTAAGTGTCAGAGGTGACAGTCTTGTCTTAATTTCAGAGTCACAGTTACTGTACCCTGGAATGAGACTCAGCAGAAGCAAATTCTACAAGAAACTGCCACCAAATACCACTTTCAAGAGCATTCTTGAGAAAGCGAATTTCATAAAACAAATCCAGACCAGTCACTTGGTAACATGCAAAGACATCTTGTCCACACAGTAGGAGAAAAGAGAAATAAGGGCCAAATTGTGTGCAGCTTCCTTTGGCTTAAAGCACAGAGTGATACAGGCATCCAACAGATTTCCAATGTCAAAAAAAAAGTGCTTCAGACAACTTCCTCTTCAAAAATAAGATCTGATGTTGTGCCTACACCAAGCATTAGTATGATATATATCAGGATCTATTACAAGTTCTATACATACAAACCAAATAGCCACATTCAAGTCATTCTTATCAGAAATGATCCTGCCTTAACATTCTAGACTAATTCCAATTATGGCATTACTCTAATATACCCATTATCTATTGGTTAAATGTTCCTCTGACCCTCATAAAAGTAAAAAAAAAATCTTAAAAAATTATGACATTTTAATGTATTAAAGAAATATTAAAATGGCCAAAGACACAGACACAAACTTGTTTCTGAAAGCTTCATGTTCAAACCTTGAAGTTACTTTCTTTCTGTACTCGGCGTAGTTTCAGGGACACTGCTCAGACATGACAAACCACAGACTGGGCAAATCACAAGAGCGACAACAGTGGACAATGGCAGTCAAAGTGCAAACAGAAGTTTTAACTTTTTGGGTGTCCAGAGATTTAATATGTTCTTTACACCATTCTGTAGTTCTTCAATTGTTCCTGGCTTTCCAATAACAACAGAGAGAAAAGCACCAGTGTTACCTATTATGCAGCAGCCCAGACTAAAAAAAACCATCAAGAATTAGTTTCAGCAAACACACACACACAAACACCAGCAGACCTTGACCATTTCTGTAGTTACCCACTAACTGCAGTGTCAGTAGCCAGTCTAAACCTTAATGAGTGGAAGTAACAAATCTTAGAAATCAAAGTCCAGGAGTACAAAACATTAAATTTTATTTAATCACATTTAAGACTTGAGGAAAAAAAAAAAGTATACTGAAAGTCACTCAGAAAAGCCATCTCAGAAGAAGAGACAGAACATCCCCTTCTCCTGGCTAAACAACATTCAAGCTGCATGATAATCCATGGGAGGTAGGGGGAAAGAAGGGGAACGGATGGAATTGGGAGACAAAACCCAAGGCAGTTCTACATATAAGCCAGTTGCCCCATTGATCTCAATGGGCTGGAGGTACAAGTCGATCCACATGGCACTGGATGAGAGTCACCACAACTAAAGATCCCTTGGGAAGAAATATTCTGGTTTTCAGAAGGCAACTGGAGCAACTTTGGTCACTGTACTTTTCTCAGTGCTTATATTCGTCCTCCTCTCTTCACGTACACGGAAACAAGCTGTGTCCAAACGCAAGTATATCAACAGAAACAAGAGGGTGGTTGCGCTGTTCAACATTGTGACAAATAAATACATTGGTTCACAGAAATAAATTGTGCTTGTTTCTGAGAAATAAAAGTGATCACACTGAAATGTTTCCTTCTCTCAGTCTAGTTATTCAAGTCTGACCTCATATTTGAAATCTTCATTAAAAACCTTATTTCCATTGTAGTGTTTGTGGAGCTGTTCCAAATACAATCACCAAAATCTCAACATCAAAAATTGACCAAACCTCTCCGAGATCACTGAATTGCTTCTCCTTCAGGGCTTTAGAGGCAGGCTCACACCCAACTGCTTTTGCCAGTAAAAACTTTTTAAACCACAATCTAAACCTTTTGCCACGAAGTCACTGCAGGTCCACAGAGGAGGTCCTAAATACACCTAAGTAAAAACGTGGTTACAAAGCATTCCCATTCCAAGTCTGAAATTACACCAGTCATGTGTATCACCAACAGGGGTACAATTCAAAATGCTGAAGGATAAACAAGCCCAGCACCCCAGGGTTTGAAAAGTGATACTGAACAGGCTCAAAGAAGTTGTCTGCAGCGCAAACAAATCACTCCATGAACTTAAAGATCTTCAAAGAGGTTGAACTTGCTCCCTTGAATTCAGTTTCAAATAGCTGGAGAATTGATACAAAGCTGGTGTTAATAGTCAAAGCCAATAAGAAAGAACTGTGGAAAGAAAACACTTCAATTAAAGTGGTTTGCATACAAACAGTACTTCAAAAAGAAGCTGAACATTCATTTGTCTTCAGGCAACTTGACAAGATTTGCAGACACCGGAATCCTGATCCATGACACTGGCTCTGGTCTCAGCTGATCTCAGTGCACGAACTCCCCAAGTATCTGACACCGTGCCGATTTTCACCAACTGCTAAAGTACCTCCCAGCATTAGGAGCTTTCTTCTCCAATTTACATCAGATTATTACACAGAATACATCAGATTATCACACATAACCTGACAGAGTAAATTGTTTGATGAAGTGTTGTAAAGTTTCAAGCACCAGAGTTTAAAGCAAAGGTTGCAGCAAATTGTGGGCTGCTCCTAATGGAACAGATTCAACAAATAGCCAATACAGACCTCAAATTCAAGGCTCTACACAAGAAATGCCTCCTCGTCTCCCCTCAGTGATCTACTGCTAATGTTTCCTTGTTGTATATCAAAGCTAAAAAATAATAATAAAGAAAAAACACAATACAGTGCACTTCTAGCAATTTTCAGGTTTTCAAATGAGTAAAAGCAGACTGTTCTCTGCCACTGTAGGACTTGGACAAGCTTCCTCTTCCTGTTGTGTCTCAATCACTGGCCAGAAAAAGAACCATGACAGCTGAACTGAAGTACACATGAGAGTACAGCATTGTCTGCCAAGTGCTTCACAGATTCAAAGCTAGACGGATGTCTGGACAATCGGTACAGACACAAAGATTCTTACTGTTTGTCAGCTTCTGCCAGTGAAATGTTTGTTAATGCATGCATAATAGAAAAAAGGACATTAGAGAGAGTTAAAAGTTTGGCTTCCTAAGACAGCCATATACTTTGGAAATACAAGTATTAAATCCTTCAGGCAGACTACATGTAGTAAAATATCATTATAAAAATATATACTTTTCTAGAATGTACACTATATTAGGCACTGTAAATAAACCTGCTCTCCCTGAAAAAAACAGGTGTCACTGGAAGCAGTAAACAATGTTAGTTATGGCCCACAGTAAATCTGACAGCTACAGCTACTTCCAAGAACTTTTCAGTCACATACTTCTAACTTAAAGCTAAAAATACTAGGCCAAAGCCTTATAGAGAAGACTGCAACTCTTACTGAGCTACAGAACCATCTACTGAGCCCCCAAGAAGGAAGGAAGGACAGGAAGAAGAGAGTTTAATCTCCTTCTGATCAAAATAAAAATTGACTTCGGCAGTAGTTCAGTCTGATGCAGAAAATCAGTGAAGAAAGCATTCCAGTTCACCATGTATCAGAACACAAGCAGAACTGATGAGTCAATAGCTTTATAGAAGATTTAAAACTTCAACACTTCTAATCCCTCATAAACTCCTATTTCCTCATTGAAAGTGAGTTTTGAGTAGGAATCAATGCTAAATTTAAACTTTTTTTTCACCAGTCCTGAACTAGCAGGTAGGATTTGAGAAGGTAAGTATAGCAGTTGTGAGAGAAACTAGAGGAAAGAAAAACCATCAACAGGTAGCATAGCATGCTTGCTACCGACTGAAACAAGCTGCATTTCAAAATCTCTGCATACAGCACTTTTTAAAGATATTACTGATCGATAAAAAGGTAGGCAGTTTTAAAGAGTTTTGTCTTCTATAAATAAAGAATATTTACATTTTTTTCAGACAGGAAACAGTATCACTTTCCTGAAATGAAGATTTCTAACATATAATGCTACAGACAGTCAGATTTTTTTCCCCTCTTGAGAAAAGGCTTGCATTTTTAAAACAGCATGGGTTACTCAAGGCTCTGATACTGAGCACAAGTTCCTGCTCCCAAGACATCTACATTATTCCCTGTCAGAAATATCCTTACGTCTGCACAAGTGAAAAAATGAAGAACTAAACTATCTGTGACCATTTTTTGCAATACCTCGACAGTTACGGTTGTTGGGTATCTTGCCAAAAAGACGACTGCATGAGTCTACTGTAGAGAATAAAACAATTTCAAGATTGTGAAGAAATTGGCACACCTTCTGAAGAGATTACATTTTGAGATTGATGACATTTAAGAGTGAAAACAGAACAATCTTCACTGTATCCTTCAAGGAAAGAGTTTACAGCAGTTTCATGTTTCCTTGCTACAATATTCAAAATCTGTACCACCAATGTCTTGTGAAATTCCATTTCTTCCTCAGAGATCA